TGGTTACGAGTTTAAACATTTGAACTTGTTCTGAAAAGATAATTCCCTGAAAGCTCTGAACATTAATAAAGGAAAAGAACAAACATAGAACAGTGAGACTAAACTGAATGCAGCAGTGGGAGAAGACAGATGAAATATATGAGGGCCACATTGAATCACGGAGGGCTGCATCTCTGGCTGATGCCAAACCGATGCAGCTTGCTCTATAACTGTAAAGCCTCTTTCAGACGTTCACTTCTTTCCATTAATTTGATGGCAACTGAACATGTTGGCCTGAACGAGCACCTTAGTGCTTTTCCATAAAAAACTGAGATGCAGAAAACGCTGATCTGCTGCAGTCACATTAGCAAATAGGCAGACGGTTAGGAATGAGTTTATCTCAGATTTATTTTTATGAATGAATAAATGAAATTAAAACAGCACTGTCCAAAACTCTCACAGAACTTCTGCAAAGTATTCACATCCCTTGAACGTACTTTAGTTTGTCACATTATTTCTATAAACTTGAATTCATGTTTGGGGTTATTGGTTTTCAAAGGTTTTTAGAAATCTGAACATTGTTGTCGGGTTTTGTAAAGCTTGACTGAAGCTCATTCAGATTGTACGCTAAGTGTCAAACAGAATTATCAGGGTTTTCCAGTATTCAGGTCCATTCGCCCTCCATCAACCCTGATCAGCTTCTCTATCCCTATTGAAGAAATGCATGCCCACAGGACATTTCTGTTAGAGGTGTGACTGCTATTTTTTTTTTTAAATCCTAAAACCAAGAGATGCTTTTAGAAATAATTTTAGAGAAATTCTAATTTCTGGGAGCCTAAGATTTTTCTCAAATTTTTACCTCGGTAAAATAAAAGCCACACATCACCTTAGGCTAAACCAGAGGTTCCCAAACTGCAGGGGGGAGGTGGCGGGAAGCCGTCTGAATGGAAAAAACAACAACAAAAAAAAAACAAAAAAAAAACATGAACACTGTATGCGCTGGGTTTTTACCTTAGAATGGCCAACTTTCTGTTATTCCTATGTCAATTTGATACAGTAGAGGCCACATTTCCCATATTTGTGTCCTCTGTCACTTTTATCTGCAGTTAAAACTGTTTAATCCGTTGTTAACATGTGGTAACCTGTTTTTCCGAGCCGCCTTTAAACGCAACATGAGCGCTATGACACTCGCACTGGGTTTACACCTGTACGGCAGTGAAGGAGACCTGCTGCTGCTGCGCGGAGCTACGCAGGTTTGTGTTAGAATCATGGCAGCAAACCAGCAAAACTCAAAAACATTTTCACAGTTTTTCCCCCAAACTAACCAACTGAGTTGAGTAAAGCTGTTGGATGCAGGTAATGTTAGCTAAAAGATGACTAGCTAGCTAATGTCAATACAGCACCTTAAGCTTAACAAGTAGCCTGAAGGCTACTGATGTTGATGTCATTTTGCCCCCCAAAAAGTTGTTCCCCCCCCCCCCCTCTATCCCCCCCCCCCACTAAAACACGTTGTTCAACAAGTCCGCTTTTTGTAATCCATGGGCGGGGGGGTCCAGAAAATGTTTGGAAACCACTGGGGGACAGGAGAAAAAGTTTGGGAACCACTTGTCTAAACAAAGGATTGAACAATTCTCCATGAGATGTTAAAACCTTGGACTATTGCTTTTGAACGTGACCCATATAAATGGGAGAAACCAAACAATAGAACCCATTTCATAATATTCCTGAATGAATAATCAAATTCAGCTATCCACATTTCAGAAAGCACTCTGGCTATATCTTATGAAAATATGAAAGGTGAAATTCAGGAATGGCGTTCATACATCATGCACATAGGGGGATCTCTTATCACTATGTACTTTTCTATATGGACGCTTTACTCAGCATACAATCAGACACTATCACATACTTTTTTAAAGATGTATATATGGCTTTTAAGAAACATGCCATGCGCTTTTTGTTTAATAAAGGCCATGTAAGGGTGTGTGCATGTGTATTTGTGAGGAGGACCTAGTCAAAAGAGCATAGGATATTCAAGCCACTGTATGCATCTGTATGTACGGTGTTGTGGCTGCAGAACTGCTGTGAAGCAGCCGTTGTCTCATTAGCATGTCAATTGACTCCATCTGCTTTGCACATGAAAGAGCCAGTGTGTGTAGGAGGACAGGAGAAAGAAAGAACGAACGCGGGATCTGGAGGGAGGGCGGGGACCGCTGTGTATTTATCTCCACCTTGTAGGAATTTGTATCGTACACTGAGGGCACTTATTAAGGATCACACTGAGGTGTGCTCCATCGCTCTAAGACGCGCACAAAGACAAAATAAAAACCCAGGTACTCACATCAGTGGCACATATGTAATTAAACCAAACAGAGCACTGATGTTTTGCTTGATGCTGGAAAAAGTTGCCTCTAAAATGAGAGGTATGGAAAGAGGGTGTGTCAGTGGCTGTGCACATTTAAAGACCCTCTAGTTGGGAATGTATGGCCTAATTTTTTGTGTCCATAAACACATTCTCAAATATTTTGTTTGTGCTGAGGAATTTTTAATCTTTACAAGGTGAAACGTCTGAAAAGTCCGGTGTGCCCATTGGTCCAACCAACGGACTCTTCAGAAATCATCAAATTAGTAAATAGTGCAAAACTTCATCATTTCATCTTGGTGTACAAGAAAAAATGAAGGTTTTTCATCTTTTTTTTTTTTTAAAAAAAAACCTTTTCAAAGGATTATTATTTTTTTTTTTTACCCTAATGGGCAAACGGCACCATTTTTTAGCCTTTTGGGTCTTAAATATTACAAGCTGTACTAGAATAATTATTTCTGGTAGTCTTCTATACTGTTTTCAAAGCACAACTGAAAATTGGTCGCAGTGTAATACACATTGGTCCCTAAAGAATTTCATAAAAAATCTGTGAGTGTCTTAGTTCAAGCTTTCTTTTCCACTAGGATTAATACACTTAATTCAGAGGTTTCTGTTGTTCCACAGGGACTCTGCCATCAAGTGGCCCCCTGGCTTTAAAGCGTAGTGGATGGGTGCAGAATCTGATGCTTATCCTCTGCCCGTAAATTTTCAGTGATCTGTACAGAGCTGTGGGATCCAGAATGGTGTAGGACAGGGGAAACCTTGAGGGTAAAAGAGGCAATTAGAGAAAGCGAGACATAAGGGGAGAAAGAAGAGTGGGACAACAGTGAGCAGAATTGTAGGGATTTAGTCTTTAATCATGAACAAGTAGATGGGAAAGGAAAATATGAGACAAAATTGAGGACAGTATGGAGAATCTGTGCTTATTTACATCTCACATGCTAATTAGCTTATTAACTCAAAACACTGACAAAGGTTTCCTGAGCCTCTACATGGTCTCTCAGTCTGGATAAGTAAGACACAATCTTGGGGAAGACTGTTGACTTGTCAGATGTCAAGAAGGCAGTAATTGACTCTCCACCCAAGGATGGAAAGCCATAAAAGGCCATTGCTAACGAAGATGCTTGTTCAAATTGATGTCTGTAAGTAAATTCATAGAAAGTTAAGTGGAAGGTAAAAGCTGCACTAACAATGGGGATAGTCACAACCTTGAAAGGATTACTAAGCAAAATCAGTTCAAGAATTTGGGGAAGCTTCACATAGGATCTCTGGGCTCTTGGCTATTTAGAATCGATTGCTTCCTGGAGGCGCGGACTCTATTGAAGTTTTAAATATTACCCAATCTTTAATGTAAAGTGCCAGTTTGAAGCTGTGACACTTACCCAAAATTGCCTGCACTGTAAACAACCATCCTCCACTGTGAGGAGAGAAAACTAATTTTAAAACGAGTTTGGGTTAATTGTACCCCTTAAAGACTCAGTCATGTTCATGTTTCACACATTTGACTCAAATGGTCATCATGGACGAGAGGAAATTGGTCAGAATATGTAGAAACAACTTTGGCACTTCAGTGTACACACCTATTGTGCTACTAGAACCTGTTGGAATACCAATGTCACTGTCCAAACATTATTTGCTAGAGTACCAACAAAGAATATTGGACCAGTCCTGTAAAATTTGTAAAATATCCCCATAAACACACTGCTAAACCCAGTGGGCAGCCTTCCCAGTGCAGCTGAAGCTGTTATAGCCGCAGTGGATGTGCCAACTCCATATTAGAGCTTTTGTATTAGAAATGAGATGTCATTAAAGTGTGTCCATGTGTGTAAAGGCAAGCATTTCAAAACTTTTGGCAATGTAGTGTGTTGTTTTTTTTTTTTAGCTTAGTGTATTTTCATGGAAAGACTTATCCAGCTAAACACACTTTAACACAAACTAGCTCGCAGAACCACTTCTCTTTCCCGTTGTTGTGTTTGGTTGCTATGGAGTTTCCGTGGCTTGCCAGGGAAACTAACAAGTAGCAAGACTTTTGTATTAGGTTGTGACTTTTTGACTGGAAGGAAAATTATGCAAAGTCAAACTCTTGTGTGTGAGAATATATCTGGCTATACATGCATAACACAGTGACAAACAGCTGATGCTTTAAAGCAATATGAAAACACAACGAATGTAAACATTTTTGTGCAGAATGCTAGATAAAGCAGTGTTCGGTGTTTTACAAGTCCTGTGTGAGTGTCTGTGTGGGAGTTAATTATTTGGGCAAAATGAGAATATGGGGGTGTAGCTTAAAGACAGCAACTGGATGAAACTCTTTGGTTGAAATTAGAAACATGTGGCTGTTTTTGCTTTAAATTGCAAGACTTGCAGCTCCTTCCCGATTCAAAAACAAATGTGAATCATCAGTTTAAGACAAGGATTTCAACCCTAAAAAGATGATTCATTAAGAACAGTCACATGCACTTGTGGGACCACTAAGCATTTACTCATGTCGTGTTTACAGTATCCATCTTGGACTCATCCTTGTCTTTTGAAAAGAAGTGTTTTTTCAATTTGAATGCACACGATGGGGAAGGGAGATACAGACTGTCTGTCTGCTTGCCAGTATTTTTAGTTGTAATTGTAACTATAAATTCTTGTTGACCCTTGTATTTCAATCCAGGTGCACAGAGCGGCTTCCTGGACTGGGCTGTGGCTCTGCCTGGAAAACGGCCGCCTTCCCCTAAGTGGGAGCTTTGATTGGAGCTCGTGTGAGTTGGCGGGAGGCAGCTGGTGAGCTGCATGTTGTTTTTTTTTCTCCTCTCATTTTGTATGGTTTGGCTTGGTTTGGGCCATACCAGCTTGGTGTGACCACATCAGTGCTGCTCACAGGGCTTGCTGAGGAAATGAACAGATATATCTGACTCAGCAGCACTTAGTTCTGCTTATGATCTTTGCACACATGCGTACACTCCATTCTGTCTTGGTTGCACAGCATACTGTACTGGCTTACTCATATGCAGATGTATTCTCTGTTCATGCGCACTGTTACACACTCTCCACCGCTCTTCTCCTCTCTTTTCTCTGGTCTTTGATGTTGCTCCTACTCCTCGAAGCCTCGGCTCTCCATGCCAGTGAGTTTCTTTCTCAGGGACCGTGATGGAATCATCAGTCCTACTCAGCGCTATGCCTCATGCAGGTGTGAGATCTGCTGACCCAGCTACGTGCCGTGTCCCCATGGACCTGCAGGCGATGACCTAATGTTCATATGACTCCCTTGTCCCTCTGTCCCCTGTTTTTACTCTTTTGAACACCAGTTCAATTCAATGCTACTAAAAAAGACACAATGATATCATTGGCGTGAGTCAACAGGTGAGTGTTGCAGTGTGTAGCTGAGCTGGCGTTCTTGGTTCATGACGAGTTCTGGAGCCGTTTCATGTGACCACAGCTGAAACCTTCACATCTGCACTTGCTGCTCTCATTGAGCACAACTTAATTTTACTTTCACTGTCCCTAAAAGACATTTGTAGCTTTGCATGCTGCTGGTGTATAGCTAATTATATCCAAGTGACGTAACCTAAGATAAATGTTGCTTTTGTTATTCTCTTTTGTGGGGTCTTTCCGAGTGCGCATACCAGTAAACAAGTGCAAGAGCTGTGGTAGTAATGTTGTAATCCTCTCTCATAAACACTGCTGTTAGAGTGTTTGTGTTGACACATATTGAGAGACAAGAAACAGGCACAAAGCTGGTAAAGGTGGAGAAATGGGGAGGAGTGTGTATATTGATGGGATTTTTTTAAATTTACCACTACATGTGGGTAGGGACACATTGCGTCACTCCAAATTTCCCCTTGTCTGTGGCCGTTTCCATAAACAAACTTTATTTTTCAGTGTGTAGACAAAACATCCACCATGATTTATAGAGCATTCCCTGATGGGATAGCCATTAGTTAAACAATCTGACATTCAACTTTAAATTTTAGGCGTATACGCAAAATACTATGTATAATTGAAAACTAATGCTGCACATCCTTCTGAACGCCCCATATCTATTGTGAAGCATGATGAGTACAACATAAAGCTGTATTGATGCTTTTCTTGTTGAGGGGCGATGAAGCTGCATCAGAGTTGATGAGACGTTTTTTGGAGATGGATACAGGACAATCCTAAAGAAAAAAAAAGTCGTTAAAGACTGAGACGTTAGTTCACCTTCCAGCAGGACAATGACCACATTGTAAAGTCTTCAGAGGTTTCATTTGTCAGAATAGCATAGTCAATGTCTAGTCCTAAGTCTGAAGCCCTAAACATTCTCAAGAACAGAGTTGTCTGTGCTTTGTCTCAGAACTTCAAGAACATTGACTTCAATCTGATGTTGCACTGTTGGTTTTGGAGTTCTTGTAGCTTGTTAATCATCTTGGCAGAACTTTTTCGTAACTTTAGATTAAGTTATTCAGAGGACAGATGACGTAATGCAATGCAAGATTTGATTTACTTCATAGATGATCTATAACCGATTTCTTTCATTTGTTTTGTTTTTTTTTTCCTTGAAAATATTATTCTGTCATGAGTCTTGTTCAATAATGCTAAATCCTGATATCATTTTTTGGTCTCTAACACTGAGATAAGTCACAGGCTGACAAGAAGCTCTAGGTCTTTTTTTTTTTTTAATGTGAATCCAAGCTGAAGTAAGTGAAACTGGATGCTCTCTGGGGTTATGAGGTATATGTTCAGTTTGTTCTGGTGTTTGAGTAATGACAACTCCCCCCCTCCCCAGTACTTACACATAACGTGGTAATATGCTCCCTCTCTGGTTTGTTGATCCCATCGTCTCAACCCCTTGGACATGTTTCTCATTATCCTCATAATGGGAACATATGGCTGCCCACTGTTTGTGTATCGGTCCTAAAAGTACATTAAGGGCACACAGATGCACACATGCAGACATAAGTCGCTGAATCACGCACTCTAGTTAAGCCATTTCTTTTTCCGAGATCTAAGACTTTGCTCTTTTTGTTGTGGTGTCTTCATCAGCCCACAAGTACACACATACATTGTGTTTCATGTATGTGTTTAAAATTTAAATGCACTGACTTGACCTCAACACTCGAAGCCTTCTGCGAACCAGAAACCCGAATGTTTGTGTGAACATCTGCAAACGTAAGAAATCCAGACCTGCTTCTGACGCACCTGATGCCTCCAGTCAAGGCCGAGATGTGATATTAAGAATAACTCAAGCCATATATTAGCCAAAGTACTTAATATATAGCTTAACCAAAGTAGGATCTTTTGTTGGTTCTGAAAGTAATATTAATTACTATAAACTCTTTTAATAGCACCTTTATATCCAATCCTTTTATGGCAGAAAGAAATCAATACTACTATTTCAGAGTCTACTTGAAATGTTTAATCAGAGCTGTTGTAAATTAAGAATGAGCCCTTGGGACTCTTTAGTTTTATAGCTTAGTTTAATTGATATTAGCACTGGAGGTGAAACAGTACCCAAGATCCATAATCTAGGTGTGGTCTACAGTTTTGAGGTCTTGGTTTTCAATTTGGCTTTTCTAAAATGTTCACCAATCCATAAAGACCACAGTGAACATAAGATAATCCATATTTACAGTTTTTTTTAGCATATCAGAGTATAATGTAGTGATGTGGGGAATAATTGTTGATGATGAAATATTTTTAGTCACTTAGCAAAATAATAACCCTCCTCCCTAAACCCCTCAAATTTGTCCTTTTTAAAAAACTATCTCACAATATAAATAATAATTATTTATTTGTAGTTTAGCACAAGTTGTGTCTACTTGTAAGGTTCTGTAAATGACTGAGTTGCTGACATGTTGTTGGGAAGAAACATATTTTATGTTGAGGTGGTTTATTTTAAACATTTTAAAATCCTACATCCTCCATAACAACACATAGCGTCATACAATCCTTAAATATGAAATGTACCAGTGCTTTGGTTAAGGCTTTTGCTCTGTCTAATTTTACGCTAAGTGAAGTAGAAGCCATTCTTTTCTGTCTGACCACACAACGCAGAGAGAGTCAATCAGTAACTTTCAAACACCCAGAGGGTCACCACAGAGAACCATTGTCCATAACCTGTTACATTGATTTAAAATTGGATAATATCTAGTTGAAGGCATTAAATATTTGTCTTACTGCTGCATAAGTTGAATGGTAGTGGCTGGAATATGTGACAGAGGTCAATATTACTGGCTGTGATGCTCATTTGATTGTGTTTAACATTTTATGTGGTGATCATAACAATGGATGTAAGACAATTATTCCTTTTTTGTACTTTTAGTTTAAAACAGGAACTAAAAGTACAGTTCCAACTTCGGATTGTCGCCTCTGAAAGCCCTGCATGTCTGAATATGTTAATTCAATATATTATAGGTAAACCATGGAGCAGAACAGTCATTGGACAATGTATTGAATCCTAAAATTAGTAGTGATTTATGTAGGCTTGTTATAGAAAGTATGTGGCTGGCCAGCTTGCTCTCCAGAGGGGCAGTTGTTGTAGTTTACATCAGCAGAGAAAGTCTTGTTCTCTTTCTCCGTTATCCGTCTTCACCATCTTTTCAACACAAACGAGTGCCTCCTAGTCTGTATCTTCTTCTGTCTCCCTGTTACAATACCCCCTTGCCGTCACCCTGCACTGTAGACTTCATGTCCAGACAGCACAAAGGCTCATACTCACATAAAGCACATATAAGCGCATACACAAGCTGCCACAACACAATAACCGCAGGCGGCTGAATATTAGAAAATCACCCAAACCTGTTGACCTCTCAGTCATGCAAGAAAATCGGAAGATTTCCCCACTATATTAAAGCGGAGGCAGCAGCCTCTGTCCCAGCTTCCCCTCATCTCTCTGCCGTTTATTCTAATCACACAGAGCCTGTCTCCTTTTCTGCCTTTATTTTGCTCTATTTTTCCATCTCTTTGTTTTGTTTTTCGGCTGACAGTGACTGGGTCTCTTCTGCCCCAAGGGAACAGAGTTATGAGCCTGATGTCCTTTCATAGTCAATTGTATAATGTGGCTTGTGTGTATGTGTGTGAGACAGTGGGGGGGAAAGAGGCAAGGTGTCTCTGTGTGTGCAGATTACCGACTCACTCGAAGCTCATATTCAGTATTGGGTGTGTGTTGTTTGCAGATCGTGTCCTTCTTTGTGGTTTCTCTGGTGGGGTTCTTCCTGGATGCTGCTATCATGCTGACCTCCTCTCCGTCCTGTCACACACTACTGGAAGTGCTGGGATCACACACTGTGTGCGGTTTTCTCCTACGTTATCTCCTCACACAGTGGGGGAATTGCTCTGGTCTTTAATAAGTACTCGGTGTTCTTGCTGTGCTCCAGCAGGTTTTGGATGTTCATCTAGTTTGTCTGGTTGTCAAGTGTTTTTCTGTCTGTGTTGGGAACTTCATAGATAAGTTTGATGTGTTTTTGCTCCCTGGAGGCTGAGTGTTCTCAACTTTTTACTCTAAACAAGTCCTCCCTAATGTCCTTGTTCGGTTGGAGCATTGCAGGGGTGGCTGCCTCCACATCCTCCCCAAGCCTCAGGCCCCCTTTCAGGGCTGGGAAATGCAGGCCAACCCCCTTCACCTGCTCCTGAGCGGAAAGCCCATGGTCAGAGGAGTTTTGTTTGGGCTAAGCGTTGCTATTTTCAGACGAACTGATTTCGCTTATTTTAGGGAGATGTAAGGAATGAGAATTAGCACTACCAGGATGAGTGGACAAAGAGTTATAAAAGGAAATGGTCAGTCATCGTTTTGACAATTGTTTACA